CAATGCACACTCGCCATCCTGTGACCATCCTGGTTGGTATCAATTCATTGCTCTCATTCTTAATTACTATGATACCTCCCTTTTTCGGAACCATTTGCATCAGGCTTACCCATGGACTATCAGAAATCGGGTAAATTATGCCCGCATCTAGAAGTTTCACCACCTCTTTCATCGAAGGATTCAATATTCGTTGTGGTTGAACTCTAGGCTTGATATCATCCTCCATGAGTATCTTATGCATGCAAAAAGATGGAGAGATGCCTCTAATATCCGAAATAGTCCATCCAATTGCCGATCGATGTTCTCTCAAAACGCAAATCAATCGCTCTTCTTCTAAATTACTCAACTGTGAACTAATGATTACTGGGAAGGTCTCTGAATCCCCAAGATACACATATTTGAGGTGGGAAGGTAAAGATTTCAGTTCAAGCTTAAGGGGTTCTTCCTTTCTTTCCTTTTCCCTCTCTTTCTCAAAATCAAACTCCTTAAACTTAAGATCTTGGTTCTCATCAATCGGTTGAAGTGCTTCCAACAATCTAGCACATTCATTCTTTGCCGATTCCTCTACCTCTACTGTTCTTGATTGTGTAATACACGCTTCTAGAGGTAGTTGTGGAGAATTCTCTTCAATGGTCTCTACTACTAGTTTATCCACCACATCAACACTGAAGCACGAATCCGGTTCAGATGGAAACTTCATAGCCTTAAACACATTAAACGTTACTGTTTCATCCTGAAACCTTAACAGTAACTTTCCTTCCTGCACATCTATGGGTGCTCTTCCTGTAGCCAAAAATGGTCGACCCAAAATAAGAGGAATTTCCTTATTCTCTTCCATGTCCAAAACCACAAAATTCGCTGGCAAGATGATCTTGTCAACCTTTACCAACACATCTTCCACTATCCCCCTCGGATGTTTTATGGACCTATCTGCAAGTTGCAACGACACGGTCGTTGGCTTCACTTCACCAATGCCTAATCTACTGAAAACATAATAAGGCATTAAGTTGATGCTAGCACCTAAGTCACACAAAACTCGATCAAAAGTAATATCTCATATAATACAAAGAATAGTAAAACTCCTTGGATCTTTGAGTTTCTGAGGTAGCTTCTTCTGAAGAATGGCGCTGCACTCCTCCATCAGCATCACTGTTTCCTCATCTTCTAATTTCCTTTTGTTTGATAAAATCTCCTTGAGGAATTTCGCATAGCTCGGCATCTGTTGCAATGCATTTGCAAAAGGAATGTTAATATGCAATTTTCTAAAAATTTCAATGAATTTGGAAAACTGCTTATCCTGGTTCTTTTTCTTCAGTCTTTGAGGAAACGGCACAAGAGGAATGTGGTGTGCCAATTCTGGTGTGCCAATTCTGGTGGTATCTCGGGAAATAGCAACTTTTCCTTCCTTTTTCTTTGCCTCTCTTCCCGTTTACATTCTTTTTCCCTTTGATTAGGTGGTCTTTCTTCAGCAATTATTTCTTCATCAACTTCCTCATCAGATTCTTCATTTTTCCTTGATGAGCTTTTTTCTCTTCCTGCTTGCTCCACTTTATCCAAAATTGTCCCACTCCTCAAAATTATTGCATTTGCTTGCTCACGTGGGTTTGTCACCGTGTTGCTTGGTAAAGACCCCTGTGGTCTCTCATTTAACTTTTCAGCTAATTGCCCCATCTGTACCTCAAGATTCCAAATGGACGCCCCTTGGTTTTTGAAATTCGTTCTCATCTCATTCATAAATCCTATGGTTTCTTGCATAAACTTCTCAAACATATCCTCCAATTTTGTCACTCTTGGGTCTCCTGGTTGATTATTCACCCTTGTTTAATTAGTTGGCACTGCCCTCTGATTCCATTGATTGTTTTGCTAGTTCTGATTGCCCCAAGACAGGTTCGGGTGATTCCTCCAACCAGGGTTATATGTGTTAGAGTATGGATTGTTTGGCTGCCTTTGATTTCCAGCCAAGTAGTTAACTTGCTCCGAATATGACGATGATGAAGCAAATGTGTTCCCCACTTGACACTCACTGCTCACATGACTACCTGCACAAAAATCACAAGTTAGTTGAGGAGCTTGAATAGAGTTTACTTGCATAGTTCCCAACTGTTTCTGAAGTGCTATGAGTTGGGCTGAGATGGCCATGAATGCATCAACTTCAAGAAGACCCATAGATTTTCTTGGTGTTGCTCTATCATTAGGTCTTTGATAGTTGTTGCTTGCCAAAACCTCAAGCAACTCATAGGCCTCTTCTGGTGTTTTATTCTGCAAGGCTCCCCCTGATGCCGCATCTACCATATTTTGCACATTCACCATCAATCCATTATAGAATGTTTGGACTTGTAGCCAAACTGGCAACCCATGGTGCGGACATTTCCTCATAAGTTCCTTGTATCTCTCCCAAGCCTCATATAATGACTCAGACTCCTCTTGTAGAAACGATGTGATATCATTTCTCATCTTCGCTGATCTAGTTGGAGGAAAGAACTTTGTCAGGAACTTTTGTGCTAACTCGTTCCATGTTGTGATAGTTCCTGATGGTAATGCCATTAACCATCCCTTAGCTTTATCCCCCAGTGAGAATGGGAATAATCTCAACCTGATGGCGTCATCTGACACTCCATCCGATTTGTAGGTGTCACAAATCTCTAGAAAATTTGCAATGTGCTGATTTGGATCTTCCTTCAAATCTCCATTAAACCGTACCGACTATTAGATCATCTGGATGATTGCTGGCTTTATCTCAAAGTTGTTGGCTTGGACCGCAGGTCTCGTGATACTCGACCCACTGCCTTCAACTGTGGGAACTGAGAATTCCCTTAGTGTCCTATTTTCTGCCATCTCTACTACGATGACCTCTGGTTCAACCACTAAAGCCTCTCTTTCTCTTCTCTCTTTGTTAATTCTTCTGGCAGTTATTTCAATCTCAGGATCAACAGGAACCACTGGTTGACGTCTTGCTCTTCGCATAAACTAACAAACAAAGAGAAAGAAAAAGTGAGATCACAAACAAAGTGAGAATAACAACAAAAATAAAATAGAAAAATAAATTTCAATCTAGCTAACGAAAGAAAAACTCAATGTTAACATAAAAATCAATCCCCTGCAACGGCGCCAAAAACTTGATGCGTTATGACTACAACATGCAATATAGCAAGTGCACTAGTCGCACAAAGTAATAAAGTGATAAGAAAAGTATCGTTCCCACGAGGGTTGGTTGCTAAACACTAAGTTTTCTACTGTTTATAAGCTGGAGCAATCGAAAATGTTTGGATTAATGGGAGAAAATTAAATCTAAAACTAAAACAAAATCTCTAAGTATTGGACACTAAATTATGAAAGCACGATTAAACACAAGGGTAAAATTCAATTTAGATAAAAGGGTAGGGTTTTGACTTCATTCAAACTCTATGGATTAAGTTACGGATTATGCCATTTCCATATTCATATGCAATTGATTGTAAATCGAATTCCCTAAATCGTTAATCATACATTCTCAGGCTATGACTTCCTACTTTTCTCTATTACACTTCCACACCCAACAGTTTGAAGAATAATAGATTCAAGTTCATTATGCTCATAGAACCCTAGATTGATTTCATTGGTTCTTAAATCTATCTCTAGCATTTATTACTACAATGGTGATTACCCAAGAAGCTTAACATGAATCATTTCTCAATCTCATCACATTCATCAAATAAATTCAATAAAAATAGGATAAACACACAACCTATGCAATAGAAGATGGAAATAACAATAATCAATTCATTAATCTATAAAAATTGAAGTTCATCAAAACCCTAACCCACAAAAGAGTTAGTTCATACTTAAATCACGAAAACAGAAAATAAAAACAGTAAACTCGGAGTTCAACATCATAAAATTAAGAGAAAAGACAAGAGATCTCCCCTAGTTGAAGAATCCACCAGATTTAATCCCAAATCTTCTCACTTCTCACTACAAATTCATCAACTCTAAGCTAAGGAAAATGGGAAAGCTGCTGTAGACTAAGGAAAACACGATCCCTCTCAAAATGGCAAGGTTTTTCTGTTATACCTGACCCCAAAGCCTAAAACTTTACCTAAAAACGAAACTGTGCGTTTTACGAAAACTAGAAAATGCAGACTTCACCCGGCGAAGAAGAATTCTCGGTGCGGCGACGAAGTAAACTGAAATCTGGTGCGAAGCTTCATGAAAAATTCTGAATTTATAAAATTTCCCTCCGCTTGCTTCTTTGCTTAAATCTTCGATCTTCAGTGCTCTCCCCTGGGAACAAGCTTCATAGTGCTTTACTCTGCTTCAGAACTCTCCCAACTTCTGAGATCCGCTTACTTCTGAGTCTAGAAACTCCAATTCGGTCGTTAATTGCTCAAAATGTCCATCTTAGCCTGAAACACGAAATGTAAAGAACTAAGTAGCAATTCAGGCATAAATGAACTAAGAAGTATCTAAAATCCGGCCTAAAAGCTTAAATAAAACAGTATAATCCTCGGATTATTAGCCACCTCCACAAATACTGACTTCGAGGGTCAGTTGTCTCCCTTCCAATTTACTTTTTAATTATGAATCCCCTTCCTTTTTCTCTCCTCCTCTTTTTATTCTCTCCTGTCACCTTTTTGCTCTAACCGAATTCCACCTACATCCTATCCTATCATGCCATCTGTCCTCCCTAACAAATCCCAACTTCCTACATAACAAATATTCAGCAATATTCCTCTACTTCTTACCACTACCCTTCCTGCGGTATACCAGCCCTTTTAGTTGCTCATCACATTTATTATAAATCAAGTCAAATTACAAGCACTACGGAATTATTTTCTTAAAACTTTATGCTTTACCTTGTAAAAAATTATAAGCACATTTGATATTGTTTTTATTTTATTTGGTTAGCATATATTTTCTAGGCTGAACATCTTCAAGCTTTACGATTCTTAAAATGTTCACATTAATTCTGTACAAAGGCTTATATAAGCTATTTTTCAAATTTATATTAACATTGTTTCAAGATGTTCTTGCTTTGTGTGAAAATCGACGAGTGCTTTTTGATAACAAAAGACTAAGGATGAAACCCAAAGAGCTAAACAAGTTGGTGAACTTCTCTCCCTTGTTAGGGCATCTCCAACCCATGCTATTTACACCAAAATAGCATGGAACAAGTACTCCAATGCAACGCTATTTTCTGCACCAATTTGGTGTGGATAAATAGTGCCACGCCAAATTTGGTGCAGCACTATTTATCCACACCAAATTGGCGTGGCACTGTTCATACAGCAAATTTTTTTTTTTTTTTTTTTTTGGTTATTTGTATTTAAGTTAATTTGATTATAATTTATATTAATATTAATATTTATAATAATAAATTCATAATAATGATATAATTCAAAAAATGATGACTGCGTGTATTATTATCACATGATATAATGATTGCGTGTATTATTATGCACAACATGATAATCGAAGATGATCGTAATGTTGATGCATCGATTGAAAATTATATGGAAGTGCCAACTCTCGAAGTTGAAATTGAAATAAATTAATTGCTGGTTATTACAATAAAAGAAAAAGAAAGAGAATATTCTAAAAAATATTATTTTTAGTGTAATATTTGGTGCAATGGGTTGGAGATGCAATAGTGTTTCACACCAAAAATCACACCAAATTGGTGTGAAACTTGCACCAATTTGGTGTAATGGGTTGGAGATGGTCTTAATAGGGTCATAGCACAGAATGGTTGACAACCATACACAAATGATATATTTACTGAATTGAACGTAAGTTTGTTCACAATTTTTTTTTAACTCATGCAGTTCACATTAAATATGTTGGGTGAAATGTCTTTATTTGATATACAGAAAGGGGCTATGAAACTTCATGATCAACAAATGGAGGTTGATTCCCTAAAGGGATATTCAGAAGGAGAAATTTCAGCTCTAAAGGAGCAATTTGAAAGATCATATGAAGATCAACTCAAACGAGATACTAAGATGGTAATCTTACTGAACTCTATCCATTTATTAATTTATCATGTGCATTTGCATTAAGATATTCTAAGTTGAATAATTACAACAAGGTAAAGGTGCAATTCTGGCCTTTTCCTGTAGTTAGGGAGAACACCGCCCCTGGAAAGATTAAATTTCTTATGCACCTCTTAAGAGGCTTTAACTTACCATTTCATTGAAGAAAACTCTTTTATAAAGCCAAATTTTCACATATTCTGATTTGATGACTATAATTAGTTGAATTTTTCGTAAAGGTTTTGTAGACATTCTTTTGCATTTTGACTTTCAATGAATTAAGAAACAATAAGAGTGCCTTCAGTAGTTTGCTCATATTGAAATGCACCCTATTCCTGATCTTTATTGTCTAGCTTTGCTGTACTGTATTTCCTGTTTTATTACTATTATTTCCCCTTTCCATTAGTCTAAAATTATAGCACGGCCTTGGAATGATCTTGGTGATCAATGAGATCCTTTGTAAACGTATTCTACACTCATGTAACATTTTGTGAAATGACTTTTTGTCCAAGGATGCTATTGCAATTTTAGTTCCTTGAGAATCTTCTTATTGGATTGTTGAATATATGTTTTAAGGTTGTAGTGATTCTGATAAAATTAATTCATGAAGGCAAGTTTGACTTGGGCAAAACATTAGAAATTGTTGAAACTATAATTTGTTTGCATGACATCAGCTTGATGCGAGCATTGTCGATATAATATCTTTTTTGGTGAGAAAATTGTGGATATATGTCATTAAAATATATGTTGAATGTTGTAGATTTATTTGTTTGGGCTCCCATGTTTTTATTTTCTATAGTCCCTGTGTAAAGTATGATTGTAAATTATTGATTTGTAATCCCAAAAATGTTATGAGTTGCTTTGCACGGCCTCAGATATTCTTATATGATTAACAGTGGTTGTAGGATTGCAGGGATACTCCAATTGTATCAAATTTAGAGATGCTATTTTACTTGGGAATGGTCTCCAGTTGATAGATTAGGGAATGCTATTGGCTTTTTTTGGTCTATCTGTCCATTTAGTTAATGTTTTGTCTTTTCCATTCATCAATAATATTGAACAGTATTTGTATTATATTGTTACTCTGGGTTTAATGGTCCACGTTGATATTCTTATTAGGTTGAGCTGAAGCTCACAGAGACTACTAATAAGCTTGAACAGCAATTGGCAACGGAGCAAGGTGCCCGTTTGAAGGCAAAAGAGAAGGCACAAGCAGCTCAAATGAAATCAAACATCAGATATGCGAAGTTAGCATAGTAGAAAAGTGTGTGCACACCTGACGTAAATCGCGAAACAAAATGCAACAAGCAAATGTCTAACATAAGTGTGCAAGCACACATCCATTGTGCACACACATGAAATAAAAAAGCAAAAGGCATGAGCTTGACCTAGCTAAACACGTAGAGGATAAAAAGAATTTCAACTTTTTGTTGGACCACAAACATATCTTTTCTCTTTCTTGCAGGACCACAGACAAAATCTTCCAACCATTTAAGACCATATAAGGAAATTGTGACACCTGTAAAGTTAGCTCTCACAAGAATATCATGAATCAAAATAAGCTTGATGGGCAAGACAACAAAGAGAAAAACTCCACTTGGCAAAATGCGTCTAACAGTAGATGCTTGCACAGAAGAACGATGTGTGCACATATTTGTTTAACAATTCATTGTCCACCATAACATAAGTTTGGAAAAAATATCAACAATGTCAATGGAAGAAGTTCCTAAAGGTTTTCTATCCTCAAGTAATTTAGAGAAGATGTTTCACACGCCCAACATCTCCTCTTCGGTTGTGATAATCTGAGGATTATACTATTTTATTTAAGCTTTCAGGCCGGATTTTAGATACTACTTAGTTCATTTATGCCTGAATTGCTACTTAGTTCTTTACATTTCATGTTTCAGGCTAAAATGGATATTTTGAGCAAATAACGATCGGATTGGACTTTCTGGACTCAGAAGTAAGCGGATCTCAGAAGTTGGGATAGCTCTGAAGCAGAGTAAAGCACTATGAAGCTTGTTCCCAGGTGAGAGCACCGAAGATCGAAGATTCAAGCAAAGAAGCAAGCGGAGGGCAGTTCTGTAAATTCAAAATTTTTCATGAAGCTTTGCCGTGGTGAAATGAGTTACGCCCCAGATTTAAGTTTACTTTGTCGCCGCGGTGAGATTTCTTCTTCGCCGCGGTGAAGTCTGCATTTTCCAGTTTTTGTAAAACGCACAGTTTCGTTTTTAGGAAAGTTTTAGGTTTTGGGGCGAGGTATAAAAGAAAAACCTTGCCATTTTGAGAAAGATCGCGTTTTTCTTAGTCTAGAGGAACCATTTCATTTTCTTAGCTTAGTTTTGACAGATTTGGATTGAAAAGTGAGAGGATTTGGGATTGAATCTGGTGGATTCTTCAACTAGGGGAGATCTCTTATCTTTTCTCTTAATTTTATAATGTTGAACTCCGAGTTTACTGTTTTTTATTTTCTGTTTTCGTGATTTAAGTATGAACTAACTCTTTTGTGGGTTAGGGTTTTGATGAACTTTGAATTTTATGGATTAATAAATTGATTATTGTTATTTCCATCCTCTATTGCATAGGTTGTGCGTTTATCCTGTTTTTATTGAATTTATTTGATGAATGTGATGAGATTGAGAAATGATTCATGTTAAGATTCTTGGGTAATCACCATTGTAGTATTAGATAGATTTAAGAACCAATGAAATCAATCTAGGGTTCTATGAGCATAATGAACTTGAGTCTATTATTCTTCAATTTGTTGGGTTTGGAAGTGTAACAGAGAAAAGTAGGAATTCATAGCCTGAGAAGGTATGATTAACAATTTAGAGAATTCGATTTACCATCAATTGCATGTGAATATGGAAATGGCATAATTCGTAATTTTAATCCATAGAGTTTGAATGAAGTCAAAACCCTACCCCTTTTATCTGACTTGAATTTTACCTTTGCGTTTAATCATGCTTTCGTAATTTAGTTTCAATACTTAGAAATTTTGTTTTAGTTTTAGGTTCAATTTTCTCCCATTAATCCAAACATTTTCGATTGCTCCAACTTGAAAACAGTAGAAAACTTAGTGCTTAGCAACCAATCCTCGTGGGAACGATACTTTTCTTATCACTTTATTACTTTTTGCGACTAGTGCACTTGCTATATTGCATGTTGTAATAACAATGCATCAGGTTGTATCTTCAAGTCTTCAAACTATCAATCCTAAACTTTGGCTCCTAAACATTTTTTTATTTTTTTACATTCACAACAGAAAATTTGGCTTCTCCATCGCCAAATTTTTGTTGTAATATAACTCCTAGGCATTGCTTCCAATGTAAAACAATGTCACACACTATTGGGCTTGGGTTTCCTTCATGTGGAGGATGGCCCAAAATCCTAAAGCCCAAAAATAAAAGAAGGAAAAAAAAAGGTGCAGTTTTTTTTATTTGATTTTTGAGAGGGTGAACAGTGAGCAACAAAAATCTGCAGAAGTGGGAAAAGAGGCAACCACACTAGGTTATTCTGATGACAATCCAACGGTGAATCTTGCTCCATTTTTGCTCAAATTTTAGAGCATTGTTATTGATGGCAAGAGCTTCACATCCATTTGTCAGTTTTGTGATAGTCATCGTTTTTGTGGAGTTTTGCCTCTTGAAAGATAGCCAAATCAAAGAGTTGAGTTGCAAAAATTTTCAGTCCATCGATCCTTCTTTAACCTGATGATCAGAAAGTCATCTCTATTCTGATCAACCTTTTTTTGCTCAAAATGCAAAGGACGTTTGGTTGTTCAATCTGGATGGCTATTTTTCGATTTTAACGGCTAAGTTTGGAGTTATACAGCCTGCATTTCGGGTGCTTTGCTAGTGATTTTTCTCTATCTTTTTGTAACTCTTTTGTATATTTCACTTTGTTAGAGTTTTGATAAATCTCTAAATTTTGTGTGAAATATTATTGGTGATTTGTGGCTGTTGTAAACACTTTTTATTATAGTAGATTTAAGTGGATCATTCGATCCAGTGGTTTTTTAATCTCTTCACATCAAAGAGGTTTTTCCATGTAAAATTGCTTGTGTCTCTTATGGATTGATTGTTGTTTTAGGCATATTTACTCAAGGTTTTGCTCTTTACAAAGTCATTCAAGTAGAGAATATTTTGTTAGTGCATTATTTCCTTTCAAATTGGTATTAGAGCCAGGTTGTAGATTGTTTGAATGATGAAGGCAAATTTGAGTAAAATTGTTTTTTCAATGGAACAAATTATCATTAGTGGGGAAGGAAAATGAAAGATCTTCTATTTGTGAAAAGGCTACACTTGCCGGTGTTTACTTCAAAAAAACCTGATTCTAAATGACGAAGAATGGAACTTTGAGTACGGACAAGTGTGTAGCTATATTAGGCAATGGGTAGAAGACAATGTTGTGAATCATATTGCTAATGAGACTCATGCTAGGACTTTGTGGTATAAACTTGAGACCTTGTATGCTTCAAAAACAGGAAATAACAAATTGTTCTTGCTTAAACAAGCTATGAATTTGAGATACAAGGAAGGGAGTACTATTTTGGGCCATGATTGAATTTCAAGGCTGCTTCGATCAATTGTCTAGTATGGGTGTAAAGTTTGATGAGGAGATTCAGGGACTTTGGTTGATTAATACTTTGCCTAAATCTTGGGAAAATTTCTTTATATCCTTGACAAGTTCTGCTCTTAATGGTATTGTGACCATGGGATATGTCAAGAGTGGTGTTTTAAATGAGGAGGTCAGACGGAAAACTCAAGGTTCTTTATCATCACATTCTGAGGGACAGTCACTGAAAACAGCAGGAGAAGCAAGAGTAAAGGTCAAGGGCAAAATGGTAGAGGTAAAAGTAGGATTAAGTCAAGGTCAAAGTACAAGAATCTTGAATGTCACTACTGTGGTAAAACTAAGCATATCAAGAAATATTGCTACAAATGGAAAAGAGAGAATAAACCCGAAAATAGCAAGCATGAGAAAAATGATGATGACAAGCATAATGATCAAGTTGCTATTGTTACCTCTAAAGATTTCTTCATTCTCTATGATGATGATGTTGTAAACGTTGCAAGCCAAGAGACCAGATGGGTAATTGATAGTGGTGCTTCTATTCACGCTACATCTAGAAAAGATCTTTTTACTTCTTATGTTGTAGGTGACTTTTAGACAGTGAAGATGGGCAATGATGGTCTGGCAAAGGTCATTGGTATTGGAGATGTGTGTTTGGAAATGGATGATGGCAGTAGTCTACTACTCAGAGATGTGAAGCATATTCTTGACATTCATCTGAATTTGATCTCCATTGGCAGACTTGATGATGAGGGTTATTGCAACACTTTTAGTGATGGTCAGTGGAAACTCACTAGGGGTGCCATAGTTGTGGCTCGAGGCAAGAAGCTTTCTACTTTATATATATTACAAGCAAGACTTTCCAAAGGCATTATTAATGTAATGGAGGATGACTTTACAGTAGGCTTGTAGCATAAGAGACTTGCCCATATGAGTGAAAAAGGCTTGGCAATATTGGCTAAGAAGAATCTTCTCTCTAGAATGAAAAGTGCGAATTTGAAAAGATGTATTCATTGCTTGGTAAGAAAACAAAATAGAGTGTCCTTCAAGAGCTCCCCTCCTTCAAGAAAACAAGGTATTCTTGATTTGGTGCATTCCAATGTTTATGGACCTATGAAGACGAAAACACTTGGTAGTGCTTCTTACTTTGTGACCTTCATAGATGATAGTTCAAGAAAGCCATCGATTTATGCATTGAAAACAAAAGATCAAGTGTCGGATGTGTTTAAACAATTTCATGCGTTGATTGAGAGACAAACTGGGAAGAAATTGAAGTGCATCAAAATAGATAATGGGGAAGAGTATTTGGATCCATTTGAAGAATATTGTAGACAACAAGGCATTCGACATCAAAAGACACCACCCAAGACACTATAGTTGAATGGGTTAGTTGAAAGGATGTACAGAACGCTAGTTGAGAGGGTGAGATGCTTGCTTTCACAAGCGTAGTTGCCAGGATCCTTTTGGGGTGAAGCTTTGAATACAATTGTACATGTTCTTAATCTCACACTTTATGTCCCTCTTTAGTCTAATGTACCAGAGAGAGTTTGGAGTGGCAAAGATGTTTCTTATGATTACTTGTGTGTTTTTGGATGTAAGGAATTTGGGCATATTCCTATAGATGAGAAGTCTAAGCTTGATATGAAGACTTGACAATGCATCTTTATAGGTTATGGTATGGATGAATTTGACTATAGGTTGTATGATCCAATTTAAAAGAAACTAGTAAGAAGTCATGATTTTGTGTTTTATGCAAGATCAAACTATACAAGATGTTGAAAAAATAGAGAAAGTAGTGCCTCAGTATAGTGATGGTTTGATTGACTTGGATCCAATACCTTTCATAGATTTGCCAACAAATGTTGAATATGATGTTCAGGATTTAGATGATGCAGATGCTCTTATGCAGGTTGAGATAGATTATTAGAACCAGAGATTCCACTCAGGAGGTATATTAGATGTTGACGTCCTTCCACACGATATTCTACAAATGAGTATGTATCATTAATTGGCGGGGGAGAGCCTCAATGTTATGCAGAAGCAATGGAAGACGAAAACAAGGCAAATTGGGTTGATGTTATAGAATATGAGATGCAATCATTGCATGACAATCACACCTTTGAGTTGGTAAAGGTGCCTTGTGGGTCTACAGGGTGAAGCAAGAAGAACATACTTCACAGCCATGGTACAAAGACATACTAGTTGTCAAGGGATTCAGTCAGAGAAAAAGCGTTGTCTTTGATGAGATTTTGTCTCCTGTTGT